CCCCCCCCCTCCAAAAAAAAAAAGAACAGTCTCGGTATCTGCTAGACAACCCTGGCGATGTTGATGCTAAATCTTTCAAGTCCCCTGCGTTGAATGGAGCCCAAGTGGCTCTTGAAAGCCCATCCGTTTCGGATCTGAAAGCACTCCTTAGACTCCAGCCTTCTGAGACGCCTGACCCCGACGAGACCAGGCCTTGTAGAACTTGGCTGCCGCATCGGGCTCCAGAGCAGGCGCATACCTTGGATGAAGGGCTCTCTCTGGGGTTTAGGGTTCTCTGTGGTTTAGGGCCTTAGGGTTTAGGAGATGCAAGCAAAGGCATGCAGGGGCAGAGGCTGTGATGATCTGGGTGGTCGTTGCTTTGGAAACGTGGGTGGCCGTGGTAGAAGTGAGAGTGGAGTGTACAATTTTCCCCGGAAACATTGATGACATTTGTCATCAACTTCGGCCGCTGCCGTTTGCCACAAATGCTGGGCCGAGCTGTGACGCCCACAAGGAATAGTACCGTCATCAGGCTGGTGATCATGGTGGGGGAATGCAACCAGCGGGGACGAGGAGATGATGAAGGTGACAACGTTTCAATCTCTTAGTGAGTCGCAGCTGCAGTAGTAAAACGATTGTCGCACCATCCATTGTGTGCTGAGTCTAGGTCTTGGTCCTTTCCCAGGAGTGATCTTCGCTTCCGGACCCTTTGCTCTCCTATTGTCTCTCTAACATAGAGGCCCAAACATTACAAATACTATTTTGGGATTCTTTACTATAATTGTAGTACAGCGCAGTATACCCCAAAACCCCTTTCTAACTAGTAAGGCCACTGTATGAGCTGCGAATCTCGTCTCTGTGCCGGCTTCCTAGCTGCCCTGTCTGTCCAGCTATCTATCGTGGCACTTACAATGGTTCTGGCCTGAGCGCCGCCTCCCGCATTACGGCCTGACAGTTTAACAAGCGAAGGCTTCGGGTTTGTGGCTTGCAGCCCGACCCCCTGAAATCATTCGCCAAGAGGCGGTCCGTCAATACATCCTACAGCTTAAAACGGCCTGGTAGTGGTCCGAACATCTACGTATAGTCTACATGCTCAAAACAGAAATTCAGAATACCGGTCGCTCAACAGTAGCAAAGCAGTGGCTTCTCATGGCAAGCTGCTGGCCGCTCTTTGCAGAGAAGGCCACGGACTGCAGGGGGACACTGACTGAGCTGGAGACTTCAGCCACAAGCGGGAGGAAATGTACCCTGAAGAGAGTACATGACTAAACCTCGAGCCTTCAGCGCAGCTTCGCCAGATGGGCTCGGATGCTCCAACCTTGGCAGATAAACAGAGCTGAGTTTGCAAAGTTTGTTTTGGCCTGGTATTCATAGGACACGGGGCGCCTGGCGAAGCTCAATCTCTTCCTCTGCTGAGGTTCTGCAAAAGCAACCTGGTAACCCTGAGGCGTCAGCCTCGAACAGCAAAGAGTCAAGCCAGGGAGCTCCAGGTGAGGGGTGATGTGGATCAGGGCAGACGTGCCGTCACCTCCATTGTTCTCGAAACGGACCTTGCTTCGTGGGCCGCGCAAGCTCAGAGGGGGTTGCGACCTCGCCAGACGCCAGAAATACCCCGTGAAAGGCTGCTCACACCCCTCAATATTGAGCCCGGGCCCAAATTTAAGCCCAGACTCAACCAATTGATTTATGCAGAAATCTTGACCCTAAACCCTAAACCCTACACCCTAAACCCTAACCCCTTCGATCCCTGAATCTCTGAAGGCCTTTCTTGCAGGCAAGAGGCCGGGACTTGGCCTGACAAGCCGCTTCGAAACTACCGTGTTCCCTGACCTACTTCTATCATGACCATGGTTTAGGGTTTAGGGTTTAGGGTTTGGACCGTGGTTGTCATGATGCTAGTGGTGGCGATGACGACAAAAATAAAGATAAAGATGAAGCAGAAGACATAAGAATATGACGAATTATGAGAGTGGCTGCAAAAGCTCTCCATCGGCTGGCCAGGGTTCTGCAGCAGCACTTTCGAATCTCTGCTTGCTTGGTGTCTGTTTTTTTTTGAAGTTCGGGGGATGCAGAAAAAGATTCGCCTCAACGTCACGGAAGTCTCCTTGAGAAGTAGAAGGGGATGCAAGAAAGCTCTGCGACTTTGTGCCGTGGCCAACACCATCCCAAAGGATCCCTGGATGCCGCGCACATGCACTTTAGATTCATTCTCGGACGAAACCCCGAGAGCCAACACTTGCCGAGGGGCTGAGCATGTCAAAGTCTTCGCGGCTTTCTTTCTTCAGGAGCTCGGCAATGTGAAAGCCGTCCACAAGGTAGTTAATAACCTCAGCCGTTCCCCTCAAGGTATCGAACTCGTCGATGACGGCTTCAAAGCTGAAGGGAATAAGCAAACGAGTCTGTACCGCGCTATGCGACACACACACACACACGCGCGGAGATAAGAGGTGTATGCATACATACCGTCGCAAAAACTGCAGTTGCCTATGTACGTCCATACGTACATATATACAAACATACATACATACGCCCACCCCGTCACCACGTAGGGACGTGAGACCGTGTGATCATGCTGGGGCCACGGCCGAACACTCTGGACAAGGCACCTCCGCAAGAACAGGCAAAACGTCGAATGGATGTGGTTACAGAGGGTGCTGCTGGTGGTTCTATTGGAACGCCTTCCATGAGCCGAATCAGCAAGAACCTTTTGCTCAAAACCTCCCAGCCCCAAGCGCACAAACTCGCTGTTCCGTGCCTTGTCCTTGCAGAAGCAGTGCTCCACAGCGTGCAGGAGCTGGAAGTCCTTGGCCAAAGAAGTCTTACCATTCGTGAGAGCAGCTTGGGGTTCACTGGCTTTAGGGTGTAGTGGCTTTGGGCTGCGGGGCCTGGGGTTTAACAGCCACCCTGATACCTGCCGAGGCCTCTAGCTTACGGAACTACTGAACATCCGGTACCAGGATAGCCTTGCAAGTCTGCGCAGGTTCCTAGGCTTTTCAAGTTACCGGCTTTCGTGAGTCCTTGAACTCTGGCTATGTCTCATCGAATCCGATCTTCCAGAGGATCTGGGGCAGCTTTGGTTGGTCCTGTATCGGTACCCTGCCTTCCAAACTAGGGCATAAAACAACAAGAAGGGCATGAGGGAACGGGTCTCACCAAGGATCCAGGAATAAAGTTTCATGACTTGAGAGTCCCAGCAGGTTCAGTCATCGTGCATGCAAACATTCAGAGACATGCCGCAGTCGGAAAGCTCTCCACTCCAATGCAAGCCATGCTGCGGGTGTCGGACTACCTGCAGCCAAGCAGGGCCAGGCCTAGACTTTGTAGGATATGTCCATACAAAGAACGCCCTTCTCGGTCAACGAAGGATAAGAGTCTCACCAGCATGTAGCAGGCCATGCACTACCTCATACTGGAAGACACTTCTTGAGTAGCTGTCCCTGGCACCCAGACATCCTCCTCAACATCCTGCAACATCTGGGGCGTGAGACCTCAACTTTATTTTGACAGACCTTGCACCAGGTACTACTCCACCCTAAGCCCTAAACCCCAAAGCCCAAGCCCTTATAGAACCCTTACGGGTTACCGAGATCCCTTTAAAGGACCCCCTTTCCAACGCTTGCCAGGAGCGATACGGGTTGTCCGTGTGGAAGCCGATGGCACGGGGTGTGTACGCGAGGTCCCGCCTTGGCTTGGGTTGGGGCCCAAAGCTCAAGGATCTAATATAGGGGCCGTATTAATTGCCTATACTATTTTGGGGTTTCCATATTATTATAAGTATAGTATAATATACCCCCTACAGGAATGTAGGGGCCTTAATAGTTTTGGGGGTTCCTTATTATATGTATAGTATAATGTACCCCCAAACCCCAGTCTAATTATTTAGGCGAGCAAAGTGCAATGAACCCCAGGTTCCGGCGAGCCATGCTGGCAATTTAGTACAGTCGTACCCTGAAGTGCCTCAAGGCACACTCCCGGTGAACGTCACACCCACTTTCGGCTTGATGCAGGTCGCAAATGGCAATTCCATTTGGGAATAATACCATCCTTCCCCCCGACCATACCCTTGAAAACCCATATCCCCCATATCTATCAGGATATGGGCATGGCATCTTCCAATGATTTGTAAGCAAGATTTACAACAAGCCTCGCACCAATAATGATTTAGTAAATTGAGCAAATTAAACCATTATTGAGAACCTACAATCTCTTCTGGCTGTTTCTTAACAAACATCAAATGCTGTTGTTTCTCGAAATGTTGTTTCCACATACAAGGTAGATCGGTAATTCTGCAAGTCTTACAGAAGTATCTTCCTTACCATCTACAGTTTAATTGCATCCGGTTGAGGAACATCGCTGTCAAACTCTGGATCTTCAAGTTTCTTCAAGTTATACTGATGAGCTTGTGATCTTTCGTGTTGCGCTTTCCTGACGCACTTCGCATTTGATCACTTCTTGATTCATCTTCTCTCTGCAATTCTGACGCCACACCCTGACCTTCTCTGGGTTTTTTGCTTTGTACTCTTGTTCGTGTGCTTGCTCCTTCTAAATGGTTTAATCTGTCTCTTTATGCTTTCTCTCTGCAAACATTACAAGTTCTATAGTTCTCTTCGATTTTTTCAGTTTTCTGCGTGTTCGGGCACCCATTACAATATTTCCTATCTTCCATGTATTGATAGCTATATAGTCAGTATCCCTTTAAGCGTCTTTCTTGTCTACACCGCAACCCATAGGAATTTCAAACATGATTCGATCTTTATGGAAACCGAACAATATGAAATATGTCTCCAACACCTTGTCGTTCATCAACAGTTTGCGCGCATGTTCAACAACTTCTGTTAGTTCGTTCTTCTCCACTGACTTTTCTGGTGTGTACACACATCTTTCCTCTGTGCATTTAACATATAATTGTGATACATTTTCCCGCTATTCTTGCATCCGACGTCTTCAACCGCTTTCCAGCTATGACATCTAGTGCATTTGATCTTGTCCATCCTACTCCCTGAAAACCACAATCCCTTTTCCTATAAGAAAAGTGCTGCTTTTTTGGGAAAAACAAGTAAAGCAAATCTTTCTTATCATGACACCTTACACACGTCCGCTGATATGATCTGTTTCTCTGGAACATCATCCTTATCAAACCTCATGCTAGTTTCATGAACGTATTTTGGCATCTTATACTAGAACATTCATAACTATGTACTTTATTATGAATGGATCTTATTCTGGAATATTGATACTGTTTGCTTGATTGTCAGTATCCTATAAGGAAACCATTCATTAATCTTTAACGAAACTAATCAAATTCATTTCCGCGCTCTTATGGTACGCTTATGAACGTTGCACGGGGTCTACCTCTCTCTCTGTTATGGTCTGGGGGAACATCTGTCAAACCATATTGTTAGACCATACTTTCTGACTCATGCAACTTTTTGAGAGTGCGCACGTCATTGTCTATTCTTTCCACATAACTAATTTCAGATGGCCCTTCCACGTTGGTAAGCCTGCGGTCTAGGGGGAAGTTGATACGGAGTAGTGTTGTTGGATCATTCGGGGATATTGGGATAGATGATGGTGAATATGTAGGATATGTCGGGGGGTATTGCAATAGTGTAGAGCTTATTTACAAAACATTAGAACCTAGCACTTCTTGGGGTATCGGGGTAGATGATGGGGAATATGGACTTTCAAGGGTATGATTCGTGCTAGGTGGGGGGGGGTAGGGCAGTACTATTGCTAAAATGGAAATGCTATTTGCTAACTGATACCGGGGAGCTTCACTGAACCGCCGACTTGGCTGGCATCTGGCTTCCTGCCAGAGGCTGGAATGAGCATTCTCGGCTTATCTGGTTGCTGGCGCAAGGTTGTAGGTTTTGGAGAGCTCTGCAGGACGGGTTTAAAGGCGCTGGATCTCGTTGGCCCTGCACCGATGATTGTGAGCATTGCGGCTTGAGTTTGTTGCTTTCTGCAAGAAGCCGCATCTAGCGGTGGATGAGGGGGCCGTCAATGCCCTGATGACACTGTTTGCATGCCGTTGGCACTTAAGCTCGAATCGGGGAATCTTGCATCCGAGGACATCGAATCCAGGACGATAGTTAGGTGGAGACATGAACAATACACGCTTCGGGGATCGCTGGGGTATCAATCCTGCAATCAGCTGCAAACGGTCGGCCCTACAAGGAGCCGAATCGCTGAAGTTTTCCTAGAGGCTCGAGACACTGCTGGCATTGCAACCAAAGACACCCTTGATGCAAGAGCGAACATGTCCGAATCGTCGCGGTTCCAGCCAAGCCGCGTGCGCACGTTGAACCATGGGCCCCACTCCGTCTCTCGCAGAGTGCTGATCATCCGAGCAAAGTTTCTGGGCGGCTGGGTGAATCCGTGCTTCTAAATTCCCATTCTTTCGTGCACAACTGCATCTACTTACGGGAATGCAAAGCAGAGAGGTAAATCTAGTTACTTAGGTAAAGGGATGTTGGGCTTCTAAGGTTGGGAAAACAGGGGTACTTTTTCAAGAGGGTTTAGGATGGTTTAGGGTTTTAGGGGGTGCTTCTTTAGGGCGCCCTGTATTCTAAACTCCCATGTCGCAGGCAGGATGAGAGGATCTGTCCCAACATGCTAAGGGTCATTTACAGGATCTTCCAAGGCTTCAGTAGGATTTTCTGGTTTACAGTGGTTCTGTATGATTTACAGGCTCCTGCAATGCTTCAGCGGGATTTTCTAGTTTATAGGGCTTCTTTAGGGGGTGAAGGTGAAGGTGAAGGGAAGCCTGGCACAGGCCCAAGGTGACAGCAACTTAACAGACAAGAAAAGAGCTGCTTGAAGTGCGAGCAAGCTTCATGACGGTGCCACTCTCCTCGGTGCCATTTGTCGAAACATCCCACTATCCCCAAGAGAATACCGCGTTCGGAACGACAAGCAGAAATAGGTGGGCGGGGGTGGTCTGGGCAGCACGGGGCTAGAACTCGCATAAGACCCCCAGAAGACAAAAACTGCTTTGCACAAAAGCTTGAAAGTGAGCCCTCGTGCTATGTGTATATATACTACATATATATATATATATGCCCTAATTCTCTCCACTGGCTGCCGCGGCTCGCGCGGTGCTTTGCGGATCAGAGCCGTGCCGCTCGTCAGCAGGGCCTGGTATCGGGGAATTCAGGAGGTCTACCAGTCTCCCAGTTTGAGAGCAGCTGCGGGCCAAGATTAACACAATGAGCTCCTGGCTGGTGATTCCTAGTCTCCCCGCAACCCTCCAACACGCGTGCAGTGGAGCGAAGTTTCGTCTGACTTCCCAGGTCGCCATTCTCTCAAGCGGTGGAGACAGCTGCAAGATGAACCGTCTTTCGGTTAGCCTTCCTCAGGCGTGAACTTCTTTCAAAGCGGACAAACAAGTTCGTGCTACTGAAAAGTTGTTGCAGGTCCATTGCTGTCAGTAGCCGTTGTGCCTCAATGAGCGCCAGCTTTGACGCCTCACAGGGGGCAAGTGCAGCTTCCAGGCTTGGCTTAAAGAAGCTGATCCAAGTCGAATACCGAACCGGCCATGTAGGCTATTTGCAAGTCGAGTCGAGTCATGGGGCCTCCTGATTCGCCACTGCCGAGTAGTCGAAGACGGCCAGCTTGTGATCTGGGCTTCAAGCCGCCACAAGGGACAACGGGCTCAGCTGGTGATACGTGTTTCTTTAAGTCAAGCCGCCGCCGGACCAAGTCCTTACTGCCGGCTTGTGGTAGCTCGTGGGCTGGACGGCATGCTGCCTGCGCTCAAGGCTGGGAATTGGTGCAGCAAAACACACACAGCTCAAGCTGTTTAAGAGTACAGTGGAAAAAGCTTTGCTCTCGTGACCACAGCAAAACTATTCACTCGAAGGGGACAGCCGACCTTGAACCTGGCTGAGTGTTTGGTCAGCCGCACACTTTTGAACATCCCTGTTGAGCGAAGCTTTCGAATTAGCTGATGTCACATTGTGAGCCAAGAGGGACTCTCGTAGGAAGTAGGAAGAGTGTGCGCGGTCGCTGCCGTGAGGAAACAGATTTTGTCCATCAGCCGTATCACGGCCCTTCGTCTGCCGACTCTCCCAGGAAGCGCTCGGGCTCAGGGTCAAGGCGCAAGTTTATGGGTTCAGGGCCCCTAAACCCTATAAACCCTAAACCCCTAAACCCTAAACTCTAAACCCGAAGGGATGTTCTGGGGTTAAGGGATCAGGGTGGCAGGGCGTTTTCTGTTTCTGCATTTTTCGGCAAACTTCTGGCCTAAGAGCAGCTTTGGCTTGTACTTGACCCCTAAACCATCTAGGACTCATCAGAGAACATCATTCTAAACCAAATGCAACAGCAAAACACTGAACCCTTAACCCTTGAACCCTGAACCTCTAATTCCCTGAACATTAAACCCCGAAACCCCTTCGCTCCAAAACCCCAACCCCTGAACCTAGCCTGCATGACGTCACCCAAGCATTCAGCGCCACGCGACAATCACAAACAGAAGCATAGCATTCGGAAGAAGACAAGCGACAAACGCCATGCTTAAGCAACCACAATGCTGCCAAACATTCGCTCTCCCAGCGGAACCTGAAGTTTGTGAGCTCCTGCAGAGCGCGTGGCACTTCGCAGGTCTTTGGGTCGGGCCGGGCAAGGGGTTTCAGAACGGTTTGACTCGTGTTTCGAGTCTATCTCCGCTTCAATACCACGGCTGCAAGGCAAGGAGCCTGAAAGTTCGTCCCCGTCTCTCTGTCTCTCTCTCTCTCTCTCTCTCTCGCTGTCTCTCCCTCACTTTCCCTCACGTTCCCTCACTTTCCCTCTCTTTCTCTCACTTCCTCTCACGTTCTCTTACTTTCCTTCTCGCTCTCCCCTCCTCCCCCCTCCCTTCCTCCCTCTCTTTCTGTGGACCCTTGATGCAAGGTGCTCGGACAAAATACAGACTGCTGGAAAACCCACGGCCAGTCCCCAACGAGCTTTTCCAGCTTGTACTGGGAGGTGTGCCCGTCCGTGAAAGCCACCTCATCAAGGCCGTCACCACTTCTTGAATGCTCTTTTCAGCTTCTGCTTGGGGTGGATGGTCCAGCGATGATCACAATGATACATGCTCGCGCTGGTGCTGCGTGGTAGTGGTAGTGGTAGCAGCAGCAAGCAGCAGCAGCAGCAGCAGCCGCAGCAGCAGTCGTCTTCGTCATCGCCGTCGTCGTAGTAGGACTACTGTCAGGTGGTGGCCGTCGGCGAATTTGCGCGAAAGCCGAGCAGCCTTGATGGTGTTGTTGTTCTCACTGTAAGACACGTTCTTGAAGGACATCTCCTGCATCGAAGGGTACACACCGGGTGGCTCATGGCACCACGGAATCTTGATTTGCCTGACCGACATTTGCAACAGGTTGCAATCCAATAGTGCAGGGATAAGTAGGGAGTCGTATTCATTCAATCTGTTGCACATTTTTTAATGTTCCGGCATTCGGCAAAGTAGGATGCGAATCCCCAGCAGACAAACCAAAATAGCATCGAGGTGCCGCCGGCAACTCGTGCGGGTTCAGCAACGGCTGCAAGGTAATCTGGTCCACCTTGGCTTCCGAGTTTACGGCATAATTCTGTTTAGGGTTTAGCTGTAATTTTGCGGTCCGTCTGAAATCCGCAGACCGGCGGCAAGAAGGTTGACTGAACGGCGTTCGTGGTTGCAACCAGTTGTAAACGTGGTTCCATGCAAATAGCTCAGGCCGAAAGACCATCGCAGTCTGAGAGGGTTCGTTGTACTTGCGAGTCGCAGGGTTCGTCATCTCTCCAGCGCACAAAGCTTATTCTGCACACGGGCGCCTGCCGGCCCACCGCTGACCCGACTCCCCCACTGTATACTACCACCGCGACGATTTGCAACCACCCCATCACCACCACGACGACGACGACACGCCAAAAACAGCCAAGACGAAAAACAACGCGAAATCGACTAATTCTTCTTCTTTGCTTTGGATCAAGTTGGATTTGGAGTAGAAACGAGGGACACGTACTTGAATTGTTTCAGCCCCCGCAAATCCTAAAATGAGGCTCCTTTGGATTAATTCGAAAACCAACGCGAAATCGCCTAATTCTCGTTTAAGATTGAAATTAATTATTCGAAAACGACGCGAAATCGACTAATTCTTCTTCTTTGCTGGAGACGCAATTTAAGATTGAAATAATTCGAAAAACAACGCGAAATCGACTAATTCTTCGTTTTTGCTGGAGACGCAATTTGGATTTGGATTGAATCCAAAGGACACGTATTTCGATTGCCTCGCAAATCCTGAAATGAGGCTCCTTTGGTTGTATTCTTCGCATGGCATGCATCCACAACAACAACAACAACAACAACTACTACTACTACTACTACTACTACCAATTTGGATTTGGATTGAATCCAAAGGACACGTATTTCGATTGCCTCGCAAATCCTGAAATGAGGCTCGGTTGGTTGTATTCTTCGCAGGGCAAGTCGATTTTGAGGCTTCTTATGATGATCGTACATGACGAAAGTGCTGTAAATGCTGCGTAAAACGGATGTGCTCTTAAGATGGTTTTGAGCAAGTGTAGTTGGTAGCCGGGGGTGGGCGCGCCTACTACTACTACTACTACTACTACTACTACTACTGCTACTACTACTACTACTACTACTACTACTACTTCTGCTACTACTACTACTACTACTACTACTACTACTACTGCTACCGCTACTACCACCACCACCCCTGCAACTGCGACTGTGACTGCTACTGCTACCTCCTCGTTGCGACCTGGTCGCCGCTCCGGCTTCCTGGCTTCGTTCGCGCAGCCAAAACGGGTCCAGGAGAAACTTCTGACCATCCTGGGTGTATGCAGATTCCAATGTATGCGCAGGTATAAAGAGCGAGAGCGACAGAGATACATACAAACATATTATAATAGTACATACCTGCATGCATGCTGCATGCGTGCGTGCATGCAGGCATGCATACACCGGCGCACATACAGACGAAGTGTACCAAGAGTCAGCACAAACAGTTAAAGGTCGTAATGAAATCACAAGAGGAGTTGTAATAGCAGTGGTATCCAAGAGTACGAGCGGGCAGAACCAACAGTGCTGAACGCCCAAGCAGTCGCAATAACTAGCACCAGCCATGATTCGGCACCGTCGGAATAGTCATACCGGTCGCTTTGTTGGTTGTCCCCTTGCGTGTTCATATCCAGGTTTCAGCCAACAGAAACACGTGTCTCCACAACCTTTCAACAGCCGAGCCCCAACCCCAAATTCCCGAACCCGACCCTACCACTTCAGGCTTAATTCGTGGTGCTACATTATACCACGACATGCTGTGTTATATTCGTCATTTATTACATCACATGGTGTTGTATTGTATTCTATCATCGTCTACTCTGGGTGTTATTGAATTCTTCTCTATTCTTTATATGATTCTACATGATATGGCATGGTATGAGTAGTGTATTACACTACAATAGTCGATTATAGTTTAGTTCTTTGTGGTCGCATATCATAACATACGACTTGATACGATATGATATTATATGAGCGGATACCGTACAAGATTGTATTATATTTTATGCCTTTCTACTGCCTTGTTTAAAGCCACCCTGACGCCCTTCGGCTCTCCCAGGATTTCTTGGCTTGTTGCATGGGAAGCATCGGGCAAGTTCAGCTTCAAGGACGTCTGCGTGTGAAGCTCGACCTGAGCGCCAGTGTTTTCAAGGGCCGGAAGATCAGGGGAACTGCCGTCGCTGTAGCATTTTTGTAAAGGAAGGCTGGTCACCAGGAGAGTAGCAGCAGGGCAGACAGCGCAAAAAAGGCCAGGGCGAAGCCAGCTACTGCCGCTGCGGCTCCTGGACCCTAAGCAAGTCGTATTGGAGATTGAGCTCATGGAGTCGGGGGCTTGGGGTAGATGAGGTGCAGCTGGCAATGTGCAGCCAAGCTTCTGCTGGCTGCGCTGATACGAGAGCGGTCCTGCGATGAAGGGTCACACGAAAGCGTTCTTGCGTTTGCGAAGCGCAGCTTCAAAGTTTAACCTGCAAATCGTGCGTCAACGGTGATGCAAATCCTCACCCAGAGAGCCCAATACCGATTAATTACGGAATACACCTTAAATCATAGGGCCCTTAATATTATGATGTCAAGTATATTCCTTAGTTAAGGGGTATTGGGCTCTCTGGGCATGCTACTAGCCGCACTTCAGCGACTCTTGTGCTGTTCCGGTGCCGTGCGGTGCCCGCCTACGATTGATACCCTCACGAATCAACATGACGAATCTCGGGAGCCCCCGTTTCGGAAACCTTGTCTGTTGCCTTTGTATGATTCCAGGACATGTCTGTGTTCATGCATCTACATTGCTGCTGACCCGAAGGACATGTGTGGTGTTTGCTTAGTCCATAGAGAAGCTTTTGGGTTGAGACCTGTGGTCAGGGGCCAGGGTTGAAACCAAACAGACGAGAACCCGAGATTTGTACTCGTTCTGCTAGCTCTTTCAAGATATATTCCAGCACCACCGTGCTGAAAGCCCATTGGCCTGGACACCACCGCCAAAGCAATAGCCCGCAGCATGATGAAGACCTGCCACCCAGCTGGACAAGCAATGAAGCCAGAGCTCCTTCTGAAGCTGTCCGCTTGTGGGTGCTGCGATCTGTGCAAGATTGAGCTAATCTCAACATCTGCAAACATTGTAGCTCTCTGCTGCAGATTCCTTTTCGTAGAGTCACCGTCTCTTTTTCTTGAGATTCCTGGTTGCGCTCCTGACACCTCCAATTCCATCAAGATCCCCTGCTGCAGCCCAGAGACGAGAGCAGCAAAGGCCGGGAGGTCTGGACTTAGCCAAAAGGCTGCAGCAAGAATGAGGCTTCTACCGCGGCCATACCACCGCTGACGCATTCAGTTGCCGAACTCGCTCCCAAGCTGGGCTGGGCAGCAGAAGGATGGTGCTGGTGCTGTCTAACAACCTCATTCTGAGTTCTCCGAAGGGTGAAGCAGCATTGTTTTTGTGCCATGCATGCAAAACATGTCACGTCGCGTCACATCTCGGCATCGACTCGAAATCCAACAAAGCCCTAAACTTGTGCAAGATGTTCCCCGGATACATCAACGTAGCGAAGGTCTTCAGTTGGATCCCTCCTCCCCCGGCTCATTGCATCTCCCATCCCCCTCTTTCTTTGTTCTTGCTGTCTGTCATTCTTTCCCTCATTCCTTCCTTCCTTTCTTCCATCCCTTTTTTCACTCTTTTCCTGCTCTCTCTCTCGTGTTTGTATTGGGTTTCGGTTGAGACCAGGCCCCTGCAGTGGACAGTGGATGCAGCTCCTCTCTCCCCTCCCTCCCGCCTGCATGGAATCTTGCTATGATTGTCGTCTGACACCCCGCAGACTCACGACATGACGTGCAAGCGCCACCACAAATCTGACATGTGCAAGCAGATCGTTCAAACAGTCTTTTTCTAATTGTCGTCGCTTTCGATCAGCTCCTCTTAGACATCACCTCTCCTGTACCCATGCAGGCATGATCCGTGGCCATGTAGAACCGAGGAAATCAAGTCAATTGCGACTTGCACCCAAAAATCTCTGTACATTTTGCAATTGCCAACAAGCTTTCTATCATGGCTTGTGGCTTTGGGCCCAAGTCGAGCACCGTTGAAAACTCCGGACGTACGAAGGCTAAGTACAGCCACCACACCGACGACGACTAGGTTCTCCTGCGAATGCCACTGCCGCTGCTATGAACTAATAACAATAGCTACGATAATAACAGCAATACAACATCTTAATACCAACTAATAGCAATACTTGCCCTTCCTATCATTACTCCTCCTCCTACTTCAACTCCTACTCCTGCTGCTGCTGCTGCTACTACTACAGCTGCTACTACTAATATTACGACGACGACTACTACTACTACTCCTCCTGGCCCTGCTGCTGTTGCTACTGTTACTCCTACAGTACTCCTGCTCCCACAACAACAACCACTACTACTGCTGCTGCCGCTGTTGCTGCTATTACTACAACTACCACTACCAGTACTACGAGTGATACTCGCCATACTAGCCTCCCGGTACTACTCGCACTACTGGCACTGCTATGCTGCTGTTACTGCTACTGCGACTGCTGCTGCGACCACGGCCACGAAGCCTAGTCGGCCACAACGACGCATGCACGACGGCTGCAGCATTTACAAAGCCTGTGGCTACGACGTCCATTTTTACTTGCCTGGCCTGTGCTGTTGCTGGCCAATTACAGACAGGTCTCCTTTCAACTGCTCAACTGGCCCAAAGACACCACGGTCTGTACCACCAGCGTCGCCTTCTACGTGCTGGCAACGCTTCAAAGCATGTCAGCGCGATTTCCACTCGGCCCGTGATCGTGTGTAACTTGGTTAACTCGGGCTTAAGTTCACCGGTTCGGGGAGTTCTTGAAGAGGTGTGCTACAAGTACAGCCCGTAGAACCTCACAACGAGGGTTTTGCTTCACTCGATCGGACTCAAGAAACCATGGTCCCATCCTCTAGCTTGGATCAGATGGTTGGGACTTACCAGCAGTTCGAGCTCGGGGGCTTTCAATTAGCGTTGTAAGGCTCGGGCGTAGATTATTGCAAGAGGGTTTTAACTTCCGGATGCACTCTGCCTGAAGTAATGTAGGGTCCTTAATAATTAGAATAGGGTTTTGGGGCCCTTCATACTATAATTGTAATAAGGAGCCCCAAGATAGTGTAGGTAATTATTTAGGCCCCTATATTATCCAGGACGCCACTATTACGGAAGAGTTGAGACAATTACCCAACCTTTCCGGGTGCATCAGTCAATCAGTCCGAGCGTCACGGCAGAATCCAAGCCGTGAAGAAACGAATGCTAATAGAAATCACAAGACGGTTGAGGTCTTTGGATCGTTGCTTCTAGTCTAGTATAGTAGGCTTCTCCAACGCAAACCTTCGCGTATCTTTGGAACGCTATGACGTCAACAGATCTCTAGCGTTCATCATCCCGTTGCCCGGGGGCACCGTGCGCCTGATAAAAGACCTTCCTGGTACCCCAGAACCACTGACACGTTAAACGTCGGCGGTTGCCGGCTCAAACCCGGCAGAACATTTTCTGCGCAGCCGGGCTGTGGCTTCTGAGTCTCAGGGGGCAGGAGGCCGAATGGCAATTATCATGAATAAAAACCATCGAAAAGAACAAAGGCACCAAAGCAACTGGATACAAGTACGATGGGTCTGGCTGCGAAGGCACAGTCAGTTATAAGTACCTTTTGTGAAGGAGCATTGGGACAAAGGCCACCCTTCAAGGATTGGTGCTGAAGGTCACGGTCATCTGGATGCTTCAGCTGCAGCTGTCACAGCCACCGCATGCCGGAACGCCATGCACGTACTGCAAGGACTGGCTGCGTTCACTGCGCCGCCTCTCCTCCTTTTTTACAAGTCTCCCGGGATTTGAAGGGGGTGGGAAATACGGCACGAAACAAACTAATTCACAACTCCAAAAGACATACTCGAGTTCATCCAGTGCTTTCCTTTGCAACTCATTTCATGCCATTGCTTCCCAGCAGCCCTTCGTACATAACAGTTGCCATAAATGGACATATACCTGGCCCTGAGTGCCTTGCATGACGGTTATTGAGCAATCAAACTACAAAATGACACGACTATGCCAAGCTTGGCACTGCAGGCCCAAAACTCGTAAGAGAGCTTCCTGCGCTTTGCAGATCTTTGCAGAGTGTCACAGAACAGGCTTGGTAGTCGACAAATTCGACGCCCGTTCCACGAGCTAAATCTTGTGGGCTCTGGTTCCGGCGAGACGGGGTCGACCAGATTCTCATAGTACAAGATAGCAGCATATAATAAAGTATACTATACGTAGTAATATAACATAACATGAAAATATTAGGATGCAAGATGATAATATAGTATAACATATTATGACTATAGTATAATGGAACATACTATAGTACCACAATACACAAGGTAACAGAAGACAAGATAATACAACATAGTATAGAAGTTAGTACAAACAAACAAGATAACATACAATGTTAACAAACTATCACTGGCCCAAGTGCATGTGTCAGCACGTGCTTTCTTCACCCAATACCAGGAAGACAGTCGCTCCTTGAAGCCTTGAAGTGTGCAACTGTCGGTTGGGTCTAGGAAGCATGCGCCATGTTGTAGGTATGGACGCACGATCTGCCAGTGTTCTGCATGGTGCGACAACAGCGGGCAAAGACTCTTGGACTCGGTGCAATTATGTTTGCGTGTTGATCGGCTTCTTGCGTTGGTTGTCAGGGTGCGGGAATCAACGCCAGCACATGCTACTTAACGTGATCTCGAGGGCACAACCTAACGGTTCCGATGCAGCTTTCTGCTTCTGTCGATTGCAGCACAGGACCGATAAATGCAACTTTCTAAACCATCCACCATGCACCCGTAAACTTTTGCCTTCATTGGCCGACCCACCCTCCAAGGTGTCGATCGCCTGGCACAGAGCCTTGCGCTCGACCGCTCGAGATGTTCCGTTTCTGCACATCAGTCTGCATGTGCTCGAACTCGGAGCCTAGTGTTCAAGCACACTGAGGCTGGACGCCAGGATCTTAACACAGTCTTGGCAATCTCGAGATGTCGAGTGAACAAAAATTTCTGGCAACTGGCAACACTGCAAACGAATTTTAATTGGTGGAAAAGTGCAGTATGCCAGCTTTCACAGGAGAGATCGTTGTCTCCCCTCGGCAGGGCGGCAATGAATCTCTTGCACTGGCGGCTGCCAGGCACTGCACATGCGCTGCCCTCAACTCTCAACTCTAAGCCTAAGCTCTCTGCTTCTTTGACTCTGCAGCATCCTTGCTCCCCTGTCCAACCCAGGCGGCTGGAATGGGGGGAGAGCTCTGGGGTTTAGACTAG